CTCACAATTCCTCCGCCTCTGCCGCATCTGCTCCCAAGATGAGGCGTTCCACTCCAGGACATCCCAGATGTCCTTGTTTTTCAAGGACCACAACAACCCCCCCCCCCCGCCACAGTGGTTGAAAACACCCTCGACTGCATCTCTCGCGTTTACTGCACCTCAGCCCTCACACCCCCTCCCCGCAATAAAAACAAAGACAGAATTCCCCTTGTCCTCACATATCACCCCAGTAACCTCCGGATTCAACGCATCATTCTCCGCCACTTCCGCCACCTGCAATCTGACCCCACTACGAAGGATATATTTCCCTCCCCACCCTTATCTGCCTCCCGGAGGGACTGCTGTCTCCGCGACTCCCTCGTCGGTTCCACGCTCCCCACTAGGCCCACCACCCCTGGCACTTTCCCTGCAACAGCAGGAGGTGCTACACCTGCCCCTACAACCCCCCCCCCCCCCTCACCTCCATCCCAGGCCCCAAGAAAACCTTCCACATTAAACAGACGTTCACCTGCACATCCGCTAATGTGGTCTATTGTATCCTATGTTCCTGATGTGGCCTCCTCTACATCGGGTATACCAAGCGGAGGCTCGGAGACCATTTTGTAGAGCACTTACGCTCGGTTCACGACAAATGACAACACCTCCCAGTCGCAAACCACTTCAACTCCCCTTCCCACTCCCTGGACGACATGTCCATCCTGGGCCTCCTCCAGTGTCACAACGATGCCACCCAGAAACTGGAGGAACAGCACCTCATATTCCGCCTTGGAAGCCTACAACCCAATGGTCTCAATGTGGACCTTACTAGCTTCAAAATCTCCCCACCCCGACCTCATCTCAAGACCAGCCCCACCTCATTGACCTGTCCGTCTTCTCTCCTACCTATCCGCTCCTCCCACCTCACTGACCAATCCCCATCCCCACTTCCTACATACACTCACCTTTACCAGCTTCATCCCTGCCTCCTTGACCGGTCCGTGTTCTCTCCCACCTATCCGCTCCACTATCTACCTGCTATCACCGCCCCCCAACTCTCTCTCTTTATTTCAGAGCCCCCTTCCCCTCCCCCAATTTTGAAGAAGGGTCCTGACCCGAACCGTCAACTTTCCTGCTCCTCTGATGCTGCTTGGCCTGCTGTGTTCATCCAGCTCTACACCTTGTTATCTCAGATTCTCCTGCATCAGCAGTTCCTACTACCTCTGAAATAATTGTGATTTAACTGTCCAGAAATTCTAACACAATGTTTCTTCCAGACTTTGGTTTTTTATCCATTAATTTATGATATCCCTTATGACAAGCTTAATTATGTCACATTCATAATATTGTTTCAAGTTTATTTAAAGTAACAGTCATGAACTAAATAGGTTGAACTGAAGAATAATAGACTAACCAAAACTCAAAAAACCAAAAACCAAAAACTAACCAATAGTTGTATTGCTTAGTGCAGTATCTTACATCATTTTACAGTCAACGCCAGCATGAAAGGTACTAGAGTTGCTAAATGTACATGACTATTTTTGTTTCATACTGTAACCCTGAATATATAATTGTTGATCTTGTCAGAATTTGTTCATAGATCACCGGCGTCAACTCCAGAAACAGTATTGAGTCCACTAATAAACCAGTATCTAAATTAAGAATCCCTTTCTATTTTTTTCTCATTCTTAAAACTATTCAAAATGGCACCAGATCGTGGTGACAGTGGAAAAGCTTTTCACTGTATTTTACTCTTGTACTCACTGTAAAATACACGTGACAATAAAATCATTCATACATTCTTTCAAGGATCCAATCTGCTACCTTAAGAAAACTTGTGATCCACAGCTATGTCATGTCAAATTCCTGGTTCTCTGTAAATGCCATGACTCAGTACTTTACAATGTGTATTTTGTTACACCAGTTAAATTGTAGTAACAGACAACTAGATGATCCTTAAGCAAATTTTAAGCAATCACTGATGCCAATTTGGGACCCATTAGTAGTACCCTCTTGATATAATTTCACGACTGACAATAAAATCTAAACTGGTCAAAACTCTACTATTTTAATACAAATGTTAAAATTTTGAATGTATGATGAACTCAAACTATTAGCATTCTTTGAAGACAGTTTTGATAAATCTAGCATTGTGCAGTAATGCCAATGATTGCTGAAGGGATTCTCTCAATTATCTGCCACAAATTCGGCTTAAGATTCACTGGCAAAAAGGTATAAACCCAGTTGTGTTGGGTTTCTGCACTCCCAGGAGTTTCAGCAGTAACTGAGATGGGATATAAATTCCATTCACTTCTAATAGGACAAATGATATGGAGGTGCCAGTGTTGGGCTGGGGTGGACAAGGTCAGGAATCACACGACACCAGGTTATAGTTCAATGGGTTTACTTGAAAACACAAGCTTTTAGAGTCTTACTCCTCCTTCAGGTGTTAGTGAGACAGGCAGTATCAGACACAGAATTTATAAGTAAAAGATCAAAAGGGTCACACAGTGATGGGTCACACTTAACCTGTTGGACTGATTGTGTGATTTCTGACCTTCTAGGGCAAATGCCAGCCAAGGCACAAAGCCAACTACAGAAAATCCAAAAGATATTGGGGTCACATTTATGATGGATAGTACGGCAAATGAGTGAAGTATTGTAGCTATTTACTCGAGTCAGTATGATAACTTTGAATAACTTTGATTGAAGTTCAGGGCTGTAGTGATCTTCTCGTTCATTGGTAAGACCAGCCCGGAAACGAAGATTTATGGAACTCTGTCACTGCTTTCCTGATTTAAATAAATTTGCCTTGCATCATCCATTTAATTCTTTTGTCCCAATTCTAAATATGTGCAGTATAGGTGAATACCTACTGGAATAGCCATATCCAGAATTTTAATTGCAGCAAGGAAAGACCTTGCTGCTAAAGCTCTAGGATAGCAGCAGAAAACTGTATTGAAAAAGTGAAGTGTTGAAAATGTATCCGCTTAATCCTAAAAATTAGGCTGAGCTTAATTCATACAGAAATTGAAACCACTTATTTCAGAGAGACCATGCTGGCCTAGTCATTATCATTTGGTATATGTCAGATTTACAATAGCTTTTTACAGCATAAGATATAGGAGCAGAATTAGGCCTTTTGAGTCTGATCCACCATTGTCATTTCTGAGATGTTTCTCAACCCCATTCATCTGCCTTCTCCCCACAGCCTTCCTAATCCAATTACTAATCAAGAACCTATCTATCTTAAATATGCTCAATGACTTGTCCTCCACAATCTTCTGTGGCAATGAATTCCACAAATTAACCGCCTTTCATCTGAAGAAATTCTTCCTCATCTCAGTTCTGAAGAGTTGTCCCTTCACTTGGAGGCTGTGGCCTCCAGTCACAGTCTGACCTACTGGTGGAAACATCTTGTCCATGTCCACTCTCTCCAGGCCTCTCAACATTCTGTCAGTTTCAATTAGATCTCCCCTCATCCTTCAAAACTCCATCATGTACAGGCCCAGAGTCCTCAACCATTCCTTATATGATAAGCTCTTCATTCCCGGGATCATTCTTATAAACCTCCTCTGGACCCCTACGATGCCAGCACACCTTTCCTTAGATAGGGGACCCAAAACTGCTCGCAATATTCCAAATACGGTCTGACCAGAGCCTTGTACAGCCTAAGAAGTATATCCCTGCTCTTGTATTCTAGCCTTCTTAGAATGAATGCTAACATTGCATTTGCCTTCCTAACTGTCAACTGAACTTACATGTTAACCTTAAGAGAACCAGAACTAGGACTCCCAAGTTCCTTTGTGCTCTAGATTTCCGAAGTGTTTCCCTTTTTAGAAAGTAGCCTATGCCTATATTCTTCTTACCATAGCGCATAACCTCTCACTTTCCCACATTATATTACATCTGCCATTTCGTTGCCCACTTTCCTAGCCTCTCCATGTCTTTCTGCAACCTCCCCATCTCTTCAACACTACATGTCCCTCTACCTATTTTTGTGTCATCTACAAACTTAACAACAATGCCCTCAGTTCTTTTGTCCAGGTTGTCAATATATAACGTGAATAGTTTTGGTTCTAACACTGAGTCCTGCAGAATCTCTCTAGTCACTAACAACCATTTTGGAAAAGACTTATTTTTCCCCAGGCTCTGCCTTCTACCAGTCAGAAAATCCTCTATCCATCCTCTATCCTAATACCATGGGTTCTTATCTCATTTTCAACACAAGGCACTAGCCAAGTGGTCACACAAGAACATACATGCAATTAATCAATCTAAGCTTGCGATTTCAACATGCTGTATTTCACTGACTGTTCTTCCCTTTGCAATAATCCATTTCTGTAGCAGGACTTGTAACAAAATACTTGAATATTGTTGAATGAACAAGAATGCACCCCAGTAATTGTTTACACTTGTAAATAATAATTCCAAATATCAACTGTTACATTATTCAGAGGGCAACTGTTATACATTATGCACTGAACATAACAACTTTTAAAATATTTTCTGTTTACATGTTCTTATAATACAATGTGATACAATGTAAATAAATTCTGGATTATAGAAAATCAGAAATCCAAAATATTATTGTAGTCCAATAACAATATTGACAAGATGCAGCAATAACCTCTCAAAGCCCATCTCATTGTGAGAGTTTCATATCATATACAGTACACATCACTGCAGTCTGAAATCTAGTTTAAAATTAGTAAGGGTCTGCATTGAGTTTGCATCTTTAAAAGTTAGTATTGAATCATTTCAATTTTTGGAGAGACTTGAGCCCACAAACATTTCTAAAATGAGTACATAGCTATCTGGGAAACATTCTCTCCATGCATGAGAAGCTCTCTCTTTGCAAGATAGCTGTGCTATAACTTTGGATTTATTGGTTCATACACTAGATGGTCACCATTAGCCAAAATCACTTTGACATGATTAGCATAGACTTTATCCTTCCAGTTTAACCATTGACCCTTGGCATGCATAACGTATTCAACATAACTGAAGTAACAGTCACTTACCCAGGTGGGCAAATGCATCCTGACAGACATGGCATGGATTCCGGACATGAAATATTTAAGAGCAGATTTTCGCAGGTATCTCTACATCCAGCTCCTACACTGGTCTCAAAGCCACTCAAAGGAGCACTGCAGTTAAAGTATACTTGGCCAGGACCACACTGGGAATCTATAGAATTAGGAAATTGAATAATAATATGGTTTCTTTTAAACTGTTTTTACTTCAATTGACATTTTTAACAAAGGTGACAAGTAAAATGCTACTTGATGGTTTCAAACATTCAATTTTATTTGTAACTAAGACAATTCTCAGGTCACGTCATTTTGTTCTATTAAGCACTAAAACTAGATGTGAGGTGAGTGAGGAGTTTCACAAGTCTTTGTTCAATGTAATCCAGTCTCAAGAGTGAGAATAGCCATTTGACATTGTCAAGGAATGTGGCAAACATCTTCCATTACTGAGGAAAGTACTTTCACATGTAACTTTGGCATGTTTGCCGGTCCTGTTAGTGTACTGTAAAATTAGTTTTGTTATGGTTGATTTTATACTGATTAGATTTTCACAACTAGTACCAAAACTTTGGGTAATGTTTGTTGATGACATTTCTGTCTTAATCTTACCTTATTGCTATTAATAGGATAAATTATTGAGAATTACAAGTTTTGTCATAAATTATTGAAGGTATTGGAATAGCAAAAGATTTACAAGCTCAACAAATTTCACTTTTTGGTAAAGAAATCACTTTACATGAATTGCCTGGTGACATCTGTACGTAAAATTTTTTTGAATAAATGGAAACAGGCTTCCACAGCTAGCAGTACTGGGACTACAATTATTGATTCAGACCAAATTTTTTCAATTAAAAAACACTGCTAGAAATTGCAGTACATGTTTGTGCTAGTTATATTAGTGAATAAATGCTAAAAACTCATGAATCAATCATCTCTGTGATATTTCTCAGTTTATTCATCGCCACTTACTCTGCATTAGTATGGCATGGTATATCTGTGTTTATAGACTATATATTATTTCATTCTGTGAGAAATTTGAGGTCTATAGATAGTGGTATTACTTATATTTTAAATAACAAGGACATTTGGCATTGGAATGCAATGTAAATCATTTAAGCCTAACACTATTGAATAATGGTATCATCTGAACTCTCCCATTGTAAATTCAGCAACTGTTATTTTTGCATCATTAATTGAACAAATAGCCATGGTCCCTGAAGTATTCAGAGAAGCATTTCACAATGCTTATCCAGTCAAAAATTCCATATCTATTAAACTAAAGATATTTATCAATAAGGTTAGAAGGGAAAACAGAGAAAAGCAGTAGAGATATATCTGTTGCAAGAAATCTAACATAAAAAATGAAAATGTGAGAAAGACTCAGGTCAAATCAGATAGTAGGAACTGCCGATGCTGGAGAATCTGACATAACAAGGTGTAGAGCTGGATGAACACAGCAGGCAAAGCAGCATCAGAGGAGCAGAAAAGCTGATGTTTCAGGTCTGGACCCTTCTTCAGAAATGGGGGAGGGGAAGGGGATTCTGAAATAAATAGAGAGAGATGGGGAGGCGGATGGAAGGCGGATAAAGGAGCAGATAGGTGGAGAGGAGACGGACAGGTCAAGGAGGCGGGGATGGAGCCAGTAAAGGTGAGTGTAGGTGGGGAGTTAGGGAGGGGGTTGGTCAGTAAAGGGAAGACGGACAAGTCAAGGAGGTGGGGATAAGGCTAGTAGGTAGGAGATGGGGGTGGGGGTTGAGGTGAGAGGAGCGGATAGGTGGGAGAAAAGACAGACAAGTCAAGGAAGTGGGGATGAGCTGGGCTGGTTTTGGGATGAAAGGGGGGGGGGGGAGGAGCTGGGCTGGTTTTGGGATGAGGTCGGGGGTGGGGAAATTTTGAAGCTTGTGAAGTCCACATTGAGACTATTGGGCTGCAAGGTTCCCAAGCGAAATATGAGGTGCTGTTCCTGCAACCTTTGGGTGGCAGCATTGTGGCACTGCAGGAGGCCCAGGATGGATATATCCACTCCTCTCACCTCAACCCCACCTCACCTCCTACCTACCAGCCTCATCCCTGCCTCCTTGACCTGTCCGTCTTCCCTTGACTGACCAACCCCCATCCTAACTCCCCACCTACACTCACCTTTACTGGCTCCATCCCTGCCTCCTTGACCTGACAATCTCCTCCCCACCTATCTGCTCTGTGTATCCACCTTCCATCCGCCTCCCCCTCTCTATTTCAGAATCCCCATCCCCTCCCCCACTTCTGAAGAAGGGTCCAGACCCGAAACATCAGCTTTCCTGCTCCTCTGATGCTGCTTGGCCTGCTGTGTTCATCCAGCTCTACACCTTGTTATCTCAGGTCAAATCAGTATTGGAGGAGAAAATGGACAAATTAATGTTTTGGTGTGATGCCTTCTTCTGAACAGCAAAAACAATTTTTGTTAACATTGCCAACTTCTTCCTTGGTATCTATCATGTAATTGGAAACACAGTATGTATTAATATCTATTATTTCACACTATCATATGCTATCACATATATGCAATGGGCTGATGCTAATATTCTAGATTACCTCCCAAATTCCTTCATGATCCACACTCCCCCAACCCCCTCGTGACCTTCCCCACTAAACCAACCAACCCACTCATTTTTATCGATTCTTCTTTATCAAACAGGATGTCAGAGAATGAAATAGAAGATAATTTTTGGAAAACAGGCAAGTTCTGCAAATTAGTAAAACATTAAATATCTAATTTATTCCTGGTCAATTCTTACTGAAATGATCTAATTTTACAATACCAAAAAATACCTGTTTTATTCTCAGATGTATAACTTACCATGTTTTTGACTCTGAACCTGCATTATACCTTCCGAGCAAATCCTGAAAATGATAACAAAGATGTTACTTTCAAACATTCAGTTTTATGAATAAACCTATTCCCAGTTTATAATTAATACTCAGGAAATAAATGAAGAGTGATCCATTTCATCAATGGGAAAAATGTTCTGTAACCAGCTAAGCAGGAATAAACAGTGTCCTTTGTGTTTTGCATTAATGTAAAATGTACAGCATCATTTGTGATATTCATAATAAAATTCTTGAGATGAACAAAGATATATTTCCTTCTTGGGTATATACAGGAAAAACTTGCTCCCAGTTGAAACTTTAAATAGTCATCTTTATTTCATCCATGTGTTCATGAAAGTCATGCACTAAATAACAGCCTTTCGCTGAGCTATCAAACTCTTGTCAATGATTGAGTTCCAATTAATTAGCTGAAATCACAACCATGATAAAATTGAATTAAGGATTTTTTGTTTGAAAATGCCATCTTGGGAGTGATATTTTTGTTTTCTGGAGCAAACATCAGGCAAGTTTTGTACAACTATTTGTGATTATTGGGCACTTGCCTATAAAAGACATGCTGAATGCTGGATCCAGTAGCTGCCCTGGTGTGAGGCCAAGGGCTGTGGGGGTGGGAAAAACATGAAGCTTAGTTGCAAGATCTGGAGCCCCAGCTGTTGGGCTGGGATGGTAAGTTGGGGAACAGCAAGCGCAAGACTGTGGTGGGGAGTAGCAGCAGAGGGTGTTTGCTGTGAAATGCAAAACTGCAGTGAAAGGAGGGTTTGCAAAGTAGTATGACAGTCTGATGGAGAGGAGACAATTTATAAAAGGGGAAAGACAGCCTACAAAACCAAGAGTGTAATTTTAAACTTTTCATCAAAGCAGTAACTCTACTAACAGGGAATCAGGAAAAACTGAGGTAATGAATTATTTGCAAATGAATGTGGCCCCTAGCTTAAGGATAGAAGAGGTCAGGAGCTACTCATGGAGCTAGATGTAGTGGATGTTATTGCAGTGAACACTGTCATTTAGACAATTTAATTTTGACTCACTTTGTTTTGAAAACAAAATCACGTATGTGTTATCACATACTCTGAATGATTATTGAGAATATTGACAAATTCTTCTAGTTCTGTCTCTAAGTGAGTCCAAATCCCTCACATGTCAACAGGCGCATGATTGCATCACCGAATGAAGAAGTTAGTGAGAATAAAAAAAAGAGCCCTTGAAAACCAAAATGGAGGTCCCAAAACTTGGGAGAACATCTTAATGCTCCCCAAAAAATCATGCATTTAAGTATTTTCAGACAAAACAAAACAGGAAGTTAAAAACATTGAAACACTTTTTAATTTTAAATCTCAGATAGAAAAATAGTTATAATTGGTTTAATTTCAAAAAACCTGAAATAAATTGTGAATGTGGACATTTGGTACAGTGAAGAAATTTGACAATTCCAAAATATATAATTGGCTTTCAAAGTAAATGTGTTCAGCAGTAATTGTTGAATTAGTATACAGCTGAAACCTCAATTACACATGATTCAACATGTTATTTCTTTTTCAAGGGTTTATATAATGAGAATAACAGTGTTAAAAGTGAACATCTCTTCATTTCAAAGATTTCTCAGTGACTGCAATCTGATCTCAACAGTACACCCTCTGGAGAAATGCAGAAGCAATGATAGCAAGTTCTAGATGTTCTAATAATGTACATATGTGGAGACTGCTGAAGTCATGGTCAGTTTCAGCAGTGATGGTGAAGCTGAAAATAAGTTCCTCATCTGTTTCTTGAGGGTGTGTGAATCACCTATTGCAATAAGACTAAAAACCCACACAAGTTAGCCTCAAGCAGCTAATGGGCTGGCAATAATTTTCTTCAAAATTTTCACTGCCAATTACCTTCTTTTCCCCAGTGTAAACAGTTCAGATGAAACTGAAATTTTTTTCATACTTATGACTGTGATTAATTTCACAGAATCATAGAAACTCTACAGTGCAGATAGAGGCCATTTGGCCCATTGAGTCCACACCAACCCTCTGAACAGCATCCCACCCAAACCCACCCCACTCAACCTGCATTTCCCATGCCTAGTCCACCCAGCTTGCACATCCGTAGACACTACAGGCAATTTAGCATGGCCAATCCACCTAACCAGCAGATCTTTGGACTACAATGTAAACTGATAATCTGTCATTTGTTTGATGTATTTAACTCCTTCCTAAACGATAATTCTTATTTACTTGTACTTATGATGACGTCTAATTGGACATCATTCGATATTAGAATGATGGATCCCAACGGTGCATTATTGATTAAACATGAGCACTGTAAATTCAAGATACAAAGTATAAAACCTTGGAGAAGTACCATTGAGTAAGCATTGCTTTTACTGGATTTACTGCTTGTTGGAATATTTACATTAAGGACACCGAAAGTGAGTAGATTCCCAAATGAGCACACTAAATGGTGAATGGACTTCTCACACAGGTAAAAACAGAAAAACATTAGACTAACTCCTGCATGAAGACTTAAATGACCCAATTAAGACAGATGTTTCTGTTGCTACATTCCAAATAAAAATAAACAGCAATTTCAAGAGACAACAATCTCTTGAAGGCAACTGAGAGTAGGTGAAGGCGAGTGTGTTTTGACTATCCCTCATGTTCGGATACAATACAAATAAGTGTTGCAAGCTGAATTAACAATTGCAGTTACTTACCATATTCCTGAAGAACTAATTGCCACTTCTCCAGGTGAATATTCTGCACCCATAAAGTAGCAAGGACAGTCAGTCCTGGAAAAGTCAATTGCATCATTTCAAAACTTGCTTCTACAATACAATCATGTTTTTTGTAACAGGGGAACTGTGTGAACCATATATTACATTTTAAAATCACTTTAAAGTTATGAATGGGAAAACAATATCCCAGTGACGATGACATTCTCGCTTAACTCATACTGGAATTGATTGCTTTTTCAACCAGTTTTATTTTATACAAAAACATTCAAATTATATTGTGCAAAGAAGTGCTGATTGCCAGGGTGTATGATACAGTTAATGTTTGTGATAAAGTTCTTAAAGATTCTAGGTAATACACAGGTTAACTGAAAAAGTGACACACAAAAATCAATAATACAGTTCAGCTAGGATACATCAAATGTGCACATTTATCATAATTTGACATGGATAAGATAATCACACTTCAAACTTCAAGGAATAATAATCCAAACTGTTTAATTCAGTAGGTTGTTGCGCAGAAGATGCACCACCACATCACTGTGGTTTTCATACACTTTACATGATTATTCAGCTATGAAAACCTTCCTGACTGAAACACTTAAACAGTTCAGTTCCAAACTTTAATACATAACAATTTATGCTCAACTTTGGTAATTATGTTATCTATTATTAGAGCAGACAGACAGCATAAATGTAGGAAGGAAGTTCCTGATGGCAGGGAAGTCCAGAAACAGAGGTCACAGTCTAAGGATACAGAGTAAATCATTCAAGACTGGCTTGACAAGAAATTTCTTCCCCTCAGACAGCAGTGACCTGGTGGAAAGCAGTTGAGTCCAAAACATTGCATGATTTTAGGAAGGAGTTGGATATAGTACTGGGGGCTAAAGGGATGAAAGCATATGGGGAAAAATCAGGAACAGGCTACTGAATTGGATGAACATCAATGATGGTAATGAATGGCAGAACAGGCTCCAAGGCTCAAATAGTCTAGTCCTGCTCCTATTTTCTATGCTTCTACACTTAGGTGTATTGTGACAAAACATAAACATGTCTAAAACTAGTCAGAGGTTGCTGTGCCAGTCCCTTATGTTGATTATGAAAGTCCCACATGCTGGCTTTCGAGCAGGTCAGAATGGTAGAAAGAAATTTCCCTTTGGTTTAGCGTCACTATTTCCAAATAATCACTGGCTTACACACCGTAAGCAGTTATTCTAAAGACACCCATAACCATTTATAGAAATGGACACTAGTTAAAATAATTTGAAAATGCTGCCATTTTAACTGCTTTACTGGTCTATTAACTCACTTAAATGATGAGAACAGGATATATTTTAGTGAGACAACTTTCGAATAGTCAATAAATAATGCAGGAACAGATTTGCTGATGTAATGAAGGTCCGATAGTTGGGTGCTTTCTGATGGACAGTTGGCATTCAGTGATCCAGGGTATGGAGAATTCCTGCTAATGCTTTTCTAGTTAGATTCCATTAAATTCTTGGCACTGATTATATTCTGTGTGTTACATAATTAAATAATTTCTCAACTTAAAGAAATCAGTTGAGTTTTAAGCTGGTAAACTGAAGTAAATTCTTTTGTAAAGGAATGTATTGAAGAATTACTGATTGTTTTGCTGCACAGAATTGCAACATAAGATGGGCACATTCCACAAACAGTACTGTATAACATTACAACTGGGAGTGCTTCCAAAAACTAGGAACTTATTAACCCCATTAACTGCACCAAACAATCTGAAAGAATATGAACCTGTGGAGGTTCAAGAATACCACATATTGATAAATCAGCAGAAAAGTATCAAAGTCACTGTAACGTAATGCTATTGACTACTAATTAACCCACTGTGTGGAAAATAATGACTTTGACATGCAGCTATGCAGAGAAAGAATCTTTCGTGTTTCAGTAATATGGGCAAAATACTTATTCCACACATGGAAAGAAAACTTTCAGCCATTATTATGTAAAATCTGAGCTAAGTTTGGAAATTAGAAAATGCAGTTTATTTCTTATTTTAGTTTCAGCAAAGGAAATACAGTAATTTGCACATTTGAAATTGCTAGATCAATTGTTCGGTGTACTACAGCCCAAAAGGCAGCCAGTAAACCCACCAGTGTGACGTCAATTATGCACATACAGTCGGAGTTTTACAGCTTGGAAAGAGGACCTTCAGCCCATCATATGTACATTGGTCATTAAGCACCTATGTAGTCACATTTTCCAGCACTTGGCCTGTAGCCTTGATTCAATTGATCATTTAAATACTTAAATACTTAGCTTATTTAGGTGGTCAGCTCATTAAAGATTTTAATGACGGTCCAAATAGTAGTGGGATCAAGCCAGATATTACATTACCCTCCATGATATAACAACTGACCCTCATTGACCCTTGACACCCCTCAAGCATTCCTGACAAATGTCATAAATTCCCCGTTTGGATGCAGTTATTCTTTCCACTATTTCACAGCATAACAAGAAAACAACATCAGAAGTCTGAGATAACACAGTGTGGAGCTGGATGAACACAGCAGGCCAGGCAGCGTCAGAGGAGCAGGAAAGCTGACATTTTGGGTCGGGACCCTTCTTTAGAAATGGGGAGGGGGAAGGGAGCTCAGA